AGAATAAAACAGGTTCCAACGCGGCGCCATAGACAATAGTTTTTATGGTATTTGTTTTTATTATAACTTTTGATTCAGAAATCAGAATAAGATAAATAATATATCGTTGGAAAGCTCTAGAAGTCTAATTTCCAACCCACTTAAAATTAGATTGATATCTTTTGTAGAATAAAATATATGTCCGAAATAGTGGGACAATGTCAGTTTTGGATAGAGTTTGGTATTTCGTTCATATCTTTTTCGTTATAGTTCGGAATTGGGGTTATGATATATCATTGGGAATATAATTTCAAGTGCTATCCAAAAATCCAATATTTAGATAAAAATTATGAGTCACAAAAATCATATCTGAATGTCTTTGAATTCGAATAGAACAAGGATTTTAAAAAAGAGGAGTTTTATTCAATTTCAAACTCTTTGATGTTTATCTTTCGGAAAGGATAGATTAGAACCTTCTAGAGACTTCTAGAAGTTCCTAGTGACTCCTAAATGGTTTAGGATTAGGATTAAGGTATTTGGACCCTCATGGGATCATTGGGTCGTAGGTAAGGTGGACCTAGAGTCGGTTTGGGCTTGGTCTAGTATTTTGGCCATAACTTATTCGTTTTGAGTCAGATTTTGGCTTATAATATATCGTTGGAAAGCTCTTTTCTAAAATTATTGAACCAAGATAATGGACCAAAATAATGTGGTTTGGACGTTTTTATAAAGAGGACACGAAATGGATGATTTTGAGGGACACGAAATGAATGATTTTGGGTTTAAAGACACGAAATGAATGATTTTGGATTAAAACATTTTAGGAAAGGTTAGAAATGGTTAAGGCTAAAGAGAACTTCACGAGAGTCTTCAACTCTTCACCTAACTCGATAATCAAAGATGTGAAAGGTACCTATCACTGGCTTTGGTTTTTATGGAGACACAATTAGGTTTCTACATTTACCTTACTAGTTAACACATAAATACTCATAGCTAGAAATATTTAACTTTTATGCATCGAGAAAGAGAGGGAGTTGGGATAGAGAAGGGACTAGAAAGAATAAAGGCCTAGGAGATAGAAAGAGGCTAATGGAGAGAGAGGTCGGGCGAGTGAGAAAGGGCAAGTCGAAAGAGAAAGAGGGCAGTCCAAAAGAGGAGAGAGCATGCCGGGAAAGGAGAAGAGTCGGGACTTAGGAGAGAGAGTGTGATAGAAAAAGGGACCGGGGGAGAGGAGCCGAAGAAGAGAAAGGAAGAAATAGGGGTTGGAAAAAAATGTGAGATAGGAAAGGGAATAGACAAGGCTTTTACACTATTTTTAACCTTTCACAAATGGGAGTTGAAAGAAATGGTGTCCTTCGAACAAGTGTATTATTCCGATAGAGGGTTCAAAATTAATTAGAAAGCTAACTGTTTAGTGAGGTTAAGTGATCGGAGTGCCTAGCTGGAGGCCGCTTCCGATCAATAATATTAATGAATAATTAATATTACAACTTAATCTTGACTGAACCCTTCGGGTCACACCCAATCGTGTAACTGAACCGAAGGGACGAATTAATCCAAAGGATTAAATGAGTCAATAGAGATTTTACGAACTAAGACGTCGGGTTTCGAGCTTAGAGTGTCGAAGCCGAGCGTCGTAAGTCGAGTCAAATTTAGGAATCGACGAGACGGAAAAATCAATCAAACAACAAGTCAACACGCGTGAAAATCCTAGCCTCAAAATGGCCTAGCCAATCGTGGGCTAGGTGGGCTAGCATGGCTAGCAAAATCCCTTGCTGCAAGCCCAGCGTGCAACGCATGGCCAGGCACGGCCACAAGCCCAGCATGCATCGCATGACCAAGCATGCTGGCTGAGCATGCCTTGTGGGCAAGGTGAGGCCAGCAAGGCTAGTAGGCATACTAGCAGCGCCAGCTCACTAGCACAGCTAGCTAGCATCGCTAGCGTGCCAGCAAGCTAGCAACGCTAGTAAGGCGAGCAGTTAGCAAGCAATGCTGGGCCTCGCTAGCTGCTGCTAGCTGCTGTTTCTAACAGACGAATCAATCCGAAGGATTTGATGAGTCACTAGAGTATTACAAACACAGACGTCGGATATCGAGCCTAGGGCGTCGAGACCGAGCGTCGCAAAATCAACAAGCAACAAGTTCGAGCGTAGCCGTAGCATCACAATGGCCTAGCCATGTGGACGCTAGGCTAGCTCGAGCTAGCATGCACCTTGCATGGCGAGGCGCAAGCCTAGGCGCACCATGTGTGCTAGGCGCACCATCGCTAGCACTAGGTGTTAGCATGTGTGCATGCCTCGCATGGCAACACTAAGCAACAGCAGCGTGCTTGCGTGTGTGCATGCCTTCGCATGGCACAACACCACCGCAACAATGCGTGCTTGCGTGCCTAGGTGCTATCGCAAGGCCTCGCACAGCTAGGCGCACAACACAACATCGCTAGCACTAGGCGTTGTGCGCGTGTGTGCGTGTGAGTGCATGCCTTCACATAGTTGCGTGCTTGCGTGCGTGCCTTCGCATGGTAGCACCAAGCACTGCGAGCTAGGAGCCTCGCCCAGCAGCAGCAAGGGGCCTCGCCTAGCACAGCAGCATGCGTGGCTTGCTAGCAGCACGCATGCGCTGGATGGGGGCTGATGCGTGCTAGTTGTGCGTGCTGGCAGTACGTGTTGGCCAGCAAGGCTGGCAGCCAGCTCACTCCCTTTTCTTGGTGCCGGTTTGTGAGAGGTGGGGACCAATGCTTGGAGCAAAGCCTTGGGGAGTAAGGCAATTTTCCCCCCATGGTCATGGTCCTCACCGAACCTCTCTTCTCCTCATGCCACTTGTTGATTTGCAATTGCATTGTTTTATAATTTATTTTGGAATTAAATAAATTAGTGAAAAATGCAACTATCTCACATTGATCATGATATGGGGATGCAAGTTGCCATTCCCTATAAATACCCCAAGATTGGGCATTTGGGAAACAACTTGAGTGGAACTCAAAAAGGCATCTCTATTATTGAGAAAACCTTTAAGTTCGTAAAACTCTAGTTTTATACGTGGTCAAGTGTCGACTAACCCTCGAGGCGAAGATCGTTCGGGTCGGGTCGTGGGTACGAGCCGTTGGAGGCCGTCACGCTTGTGAGGCTTAATAGCTTCGAAGTAAGAGCTCGGTTTGCGAGCGAAGCATACTTCAAGGGTATTACTTCTTTATCCCTTTTCTTAATTATTGTTTAATTATGTTTATGCATGCTTTATTGCTTTAATTATTGGGGCGGGTCTTGGGCGGGTTTCTCTTCCGCGTAGCGTTGGACGCTACGAAACCCAACTGTGGTATCATTATTGTTGAACTAATTCCATGGTTGAACTAATTTTTGGATTTAATGGTTGGAACTTTGATTCTAAATTCCATGGTTGAACTAATTTTTGGATTCAATCATTATTGTGTTGATTAAAGTCTTGGAAGTTCAAGTACTTGAGATTAAATCTTGATTAATCTTCATATTGGAAGATGTAATTTTGTTATTTTACATAAGTTAAAAGTTGGAAATTTTTCATTGGATGATTGATTTTATTTTCCAACTCCCTACTTTGTCAAAATCATTATTAATTTGCATATTGGTCAAATTAATTTTGGGTATAGCCTTCAATTTTAAGCATCAAAGAAAGACCTAAATTATTTCAAAGGGAAATTTTGGATGATTTAGGCTTGTGCACCATTAAAATTGAATTTAATTAAGTTGGACTTATTTTATTTTCATTTTTGCCCTATATTCATTCTAAAATAAATTTAGAATTGATTTTATGTCACACGTAAATCGGGATTAAAATCCCGAGAAACGACACGCAAATCGAGGCAAAAACACCCAAGCGTCACCAAGGCTAGCTGGGCTGCCTATCAGCCCGCATGTGGCTGCCTTGATGCGTACAATGGTGCTTAAGCCTCGAGGTGTTGCTGTGCAGTGTGGCGAAGGGTTGCTGTTACGTGTTGTCTATGGCTGGGTGCGTGGGCCTTAGGCCGCTGGAGAGCTTGTGCGTGCTGCTGGGCAGCGAGGCAGCAAGCCCCAGCCAGCCAGCCCAATGCTGCCAGCGCCAGAGAGCAGCTAGCATGCGTAGCGTGCTGCTGGTGCTAGCTAGCAAGGCATGTTGCGCTAGGCGAGCTTGCTAGCAGCTAGCACCACACGCAACGTAAGGGGCTGCCTAGCAGCCATGGTGCGCAGCCCTCGCTTTTGTTGGTGGGCTGTTTTGCTTGATTTGGGGCTATCGTCTTTTGCAAAATTTTGCCGTTTTAATTTTATTTAAAAAAAAATAAAACTTTAACGAGGTTAGACCTCGATTTTTCCGGCTCTTGCAAAATTTTATTTTTGACAAAATTTGGGTTTACCGGCTTAATTAATTAAGTTGGATGCGGAATTTAGTGAGAGCTTATGAATTGTATCGTGAACAAATTGCGTCTTACTAAACATAATATGTTAAACAACTTTGACTAGTTTTAATTAGGCGAGTTAATTGGATTAACCACCTAAGTTAGTTACTTGTCTTCGCGTGTTGTGCATTATTACTTGTTTTTCGTCGCAAAATGCATGGGCCATTCACATATAGTGAATGGATGAATGGAAAATATATTGTTTCACAGGTTTCGTGAAAATGGCAACTAGTGGGGCCCGATTAAGATAGAAAATACGGACTGCGTTCCGTTACGTATTTTTGTAAATCTAAATACGGTCTGTGTACCGTTGAGTATTTTTGTACCTTAATATTTAGATTAATCCTAGTCGTACACTAGGCGAAAATACGTAACCCCCACCGGTTCAAACCCCCCATTTAGCACCGGTTTTGAACCGGTGGGGATTTGGGGGGTGCTAAAACCCCATACATTTCGCACCGGTTCAAAATCGGTGCGAAAACCGAGAACCGGTGCCAAAAGTCTCCAAAAATATTTTTTTAAATAAACTTTTAGCACCGGTTCTTTTCCAAAACCGGTGCCAAAAGTGCCCCAATTTTTTTTTTTTTTTTTTTTTTTTGCTTTTTTTTTTGCATTTTTTTCACTTAAATTGTACAAATACTTTTATATAATCATATTATACATAAAACACATATATCTTCATATTTGTGTCATACATCCATTAAAGAGCACTACATCTTTGATAAATAGAATAAAAACTAAGACAAAACCAGCATACCAACAGCACAACAGAGTTGCTTAATTCGCTCATCATTCCAGGCCATACTGAATTACTGAGCTTCATGCAAGGCAGCTAGGGCATAAATGAAGTACAAGTATAGTAAGTCATTCAATAATGACACATATCACTAAGAATTTAACACCACCCCACCCCCTCTTTCTCCCTCCTCTCCTTTATCTTTCTTTTACCCGTTATTCAGGGGGGATTACCTTCACAGTTTAATGTCTATTGTCTAGTGACATGTCACCAATTGTACAATACATACATCTGTTATTATTCGGCAAGCCTTTGTAAAGGAATTAGCAACTCCATATGCAACAGTAACACCAATGCTTGATCCTCCTCTTGCTGGTTTTACCTGAAACAACAAATAAATAATCACAAGAATGGAATAACCTCAAACTTTCATGAAAAGAGTTTTCAAATGTGTAATTTATTTACCACAACTTTTCCTGTTCCGAGATCCAATTGATTTGTTTCAAACCACTTTTGTAGATCGGTTTCATTTGACTCGTTTTCCTAATAGCATGAATAAAAAAAATTATCAGTAGCAAAATAGCTAAGATTACATTCTTTAAAACAATTTTTTTTTTTTTTAAAAAAGGAGCAACGAGCAAGAGTTGAGACACAATATTTGATTTTGTTTATAGTATAATAACTAATAAGGACCCAACAAAGTGGAGAAACGACCTCTAAGGATAGATATTTTTCATTCAATTTCGTATAGTTCATTAGTTGAGCAAAAATTTGCCCAATTTACAACTAGTATACCTTATTGGTGAATACTTAGAGTTTTCTCCTTGAATTGAAGATTTTCTTTTAATGACCTTGTACACAGCTGCTGACGATTTTCTAGATTTTCTATAACTTTAAAAGCATTTACTTCAGCTTCAGAATCTCTTCAATATTCCCTTAGTCAAAACATATAACCTTTCATAAGCATAAAAAAAGATCCCCCAGAATTTATGAGTTTAAAATAGTCTTGAAAATCATATGGAAGAGCTATATCTGACAACATTGTTTCTCAATTTCTCTCACAGAGTTCGTAATCATAAATGCACTAAGAGGCGCCCCAATAATTAGCACCAGAGATAGCTAACCTTTTTTTCTTACTCAAGTCATTAAACCAACAACAGAGGTAAATTTGTGATATGATGAGATAAGTCCTACAAAGGCTAGTTGTTCATTAAATACAAAGGAAAGAATAGAAACAGATTGGTGATAAGCAGGGAAAATTAGAACCAATCCCACTTTCTAGGCACATAATAGATCCCATTCCTTATTAGTTAAAATATAATAGAGTTTATGTTAGGAAGAACTGCATATAATCTCCTTTCGTAGATAAGCTTATATATTTATATACTCCCTCAGCTATTATTCTTTTGTTCTACCCACTTTCTGTAGGTTCATAATTAAGGCAAGTTAGAAAAACGTGGGGGTGTGTTAGAAAAAGGTGAATTTGTTAGAGAAACAAGGATCAAGTAAGAAAGAGCGAGTAAAAAGTGAGTGTGGGTAAGCATAAATATTTAGTAATTCTTTAAAGCTTTTCGCTTTTTCTACATCAGACCAAGGAAAGTAAAGCATACAAACTATCAGCAAATTACTCTTTTCTAAAGCATACTTCATAAGTAGCATGAGTCTTTCCAATTGAAACTAGCTTCTTGGCATTTTGACATCTTATAAAAAAAATTGATATGCTTTAATCTGGTTTAATTGTATAATTGCTGGTCAAGCCTTTTTTTTTTTTTTTTTTTTGGAAAATAATTGAGATGTACGACAGATTAAATCTTAGAAGTTCACCTGGCTTAGTAGACTCAATTCCCGTCCCTCTAGTGGGAAGATCCGAAATAACTAATCTGAGATGCTGTTTTCCCAGTTTAATATTAATTTGTTCCATCTTTATAGGGCATAATGCGCATGTGACATGCATAGACAACTTATGACAGAAGCAAGAAACTCCTGACAGAAGCCTCCCTATGAACCAGCTAAACCAAACAGTGCTATGATAGAATGATATGACATAATGCGCACTATTATATGAGTTAGTCATGGATTCATAGCACATCATCGGTAATATTAAATGCTTACAATGAACTGGTCCTCAAAGTATTAGAGGGTCAGCTAGAGCAATAAACTCACATTGTCAAATGCCTTGCAAGATTCATTTGATTTTGTACCAACAAAAGGAACCTTTGGTTGCTCTAACAACTCCTGGATGCCTAATTGCATGAGAGATTTCTGCGAAAAACTCCTCCTAGACAAAAGCATCCTTTTTATATACCTGAAGAGTACCATCTTCACCAAAAGGACCATGGATGACAGGAAACACAATATCAACTGAAGCAGCAAGGTGTTCCACAAAATCTGACAAGCAGCGAAAACCTTGAGCAAGGCTGAGAACAACAGTAAAAACAAACAATTCATTTTATGGAATCACCGCTAAATTCTCATGAAAGATGATAAATAAAACAAAAGTTAGAACTACACACCTTTCAAGCTTAAAATCAAAATCCGAAAGGGTGTTTGAATAGAGCTGCAAGTAGTAAGAGAGAAACAGATTAGCTCAATATGTTTGTTGCTGTTTGCATGCTACAAAGACAATATCTTTCTGCCAAAATTATCAAATGCATTCCTAAATTCCCAACCCCAACTTTAGAAGTGAACATATTCTATAGAAAACAATATGATTTCCTTTCATTTATTTGTAACTCAAATAAAAATCATAAAAGCTCTTGACAGTAAAACGCTCATTCCATAAAACAAATTAACATTAAAATAGTTCATCCAAACAACTTATTTTATTTTTTATTTTTTTTATACCAAATGATCCATTTACACAGAGCAATTACAACTTACAATCACCGAAGCATGGCAATAGTTTAAAGGTTTTTCGACTTTCCATGGAATCGAATTATCAAATGTACTCAACATAATTCCGTAGTTTTCATCCTCTGACCTCTCCTATTTGCTGATTGATGCTCGCTTGCCAATTGAGCAGCATCGATTGCAACAATTCCCATCTCAATGAGGAACCACTCAGGATATTCATCATGTGCCATTTCTCTAACAGCCTCTGCTGCTGTATTATCGAGTCCCAGGTCTGAAGTTGTGGCAGGAGTACCATCTGCATCTGCCACTCCTGTTGGCTATCTGCTGGCTGTTAGCTGTTGTTTGGTGGTGCTGTGCCTGCCTGGTGCTGGCTGTTGATGTTGTTTTACCTGTCAAAGCGAGTTATAGAAACGAAATTGTAAATGCACACAAATAAACACTCCTAGACAATTAGTGCTCCCAAGAGCTCAACAGGCAACATTCAACTTCGTATATATGTTTGACACTGGATGCTTTTCAAGGAACAAGATTTACCAACCCAGCTAAAGTTTTCTTTAGCATCAACCATTATAGCCAACATTTAGATTGTCAAAAGCTCAATTAGTAACAAGACCGCCATAAAGGGAAAACAAACCAATCAGAAGCATCCCACTAACTTAGCATCCAACTAACACTAAATGTAGCCCTTTTATAAATATGAGTAATACAATAATACAGAGTACTACTTAGCTTAATTCGAAGAATCTAAACTAGTAAAGATACCAGGCAAAAAAAAAAATAGTAATAAATTGATCAGACTTACCCTTATCAGTAGTCTTCATTAGAACAATAAGACCCTTAGAGTTCCTGCTGGTGTGATGAAACAAAAGAATTACACTCAGTTTTATAATTTACAAATAGAAAACATAAAAATGACTGTATGATTTAGACTCCCTGACCAACACACAACCTTCCTATGTCATTCGTTCCTGCAATAGTGGTCTTTGTGATTGGGACACGCTTTGCCAATATTTCCCTAATTGATTTTGGTGTGGCGATATTTGTTCATGGAATTAGAATTGACAGTCTTACACTATAATAAGTATCTTCAGTTGAAATGACTATTAGTAATCAATTTTTTTGCGTTTTCATACCATAAGTTGTACACCAATTTCCCACTTCTAAAGAATCAAATTGACCTAGAAAAAAAAATCAACCAATACAGAAAACATCAATATTCTATTCACTATAGCAAGAATTTAACTTAGTTCCGCAAAATAAATTTTAAATCTAACTCAATGCCATCACATTCTACTTAATACAGATAAAATTAACTCAATGGAATAAAATAAATTTCAAAATTTTCAACATATACAATAACAAGAGTTCACGAATTATATATTAACAACAATAATGTATGTACATAAATTTAAAGAGACCTAACGAAATTGAATTGCATGACATTCTTCCAATTAACCCTTAATTGGAAAACCCTTAATTTCTTCCAATTAACAGCCTCGAGAAATTAGAAAACCCTTAATTTTTTCCAATTAACCTCAATAATACATGAATAACACAACCAGATTCGACAACCCTAAAACAACAACAACAAAATCAACCAACAATTCATCAATCGCAAAGAATATTAAAATCAAGAACAACTAAAAAAAAAACAAAATCAAAACCAAAAGGAAGCAAAATCGAAGCAAACCAGGAGCAGCTTCAATGGAGGTGAGAAAGCTCAGATTCGGCTTCAATGGAGAATATAGAGCACAATTCAATGGAGGCGGAGGTGCTGCTTCAATGGAGTGAGAAGGCGGAGGTGCTGCTTCAATGGAGTGAGAAAGCTAGGGCAATTCGGGATTCTGGATAGAGAACGAAGGCGAAAACGAGAGGGAAATTAAAAGTATAGAACATGGAAAGAAAGAAAGAAATAAGAAGAAAAGCAGCCCGGGTTTTTTTTTTTATATTTCGTAATTCGCACCGGTTTGAACCGGTGCGAAAAATATGATTTCACACTGGTTTATTAGGAACCAATGGGAAAAATATTTTCCCCAATCCCGCCCATTTCTTTTCCCACCGGTTTTCAAGAATCGGTGCGAAAAGTGCGCTGCGTAATTCATTTTTTCTACTAGTGGTAGTAGCTAGTAGTTTTATTTTGGCGAAGTTGTCACAAGACGATGTTTTGATGAAGACGAGCCAAGATGAAGACCCTTGAAGATTTGAAGATTTTAAGGGGTCATGCTAGTTTCTAAATGCATCTAATTTTATGCTTTATATAATTGAATGTTAGATGCATGTCTAGGATTTCAAAAGTTGCGATGATTAGTTAAGTTCACTTAAATCAACCAACATAGAAACCCTAGGTCCCTTAAAAATATTGAGCTAAAATTTTGCCGTTCCAAGAACAACACTTACCGAACTAATGCGCGTACGTGATGGGCTACGCCAAAGCAAGGTATCACTTTTTCCCTAGGAACGTAAGGTATACTAGGTATACGAGTTGATCTTGGTTAAGCTCAACGATATCAGTAAGGAGTCATTAGATGTCATGGCAAAAGAGATAAAATGGCAAGGAAGCATTAGATGCGACGTTTTATCAAACCGAGAGTAGCTTAGAGCTATTAGCAATTGGATTGCTTACCCTAAAATATCTAGTGTTAAGACAAGCCAAAGTATGCTTAATCACTTTTTGATTTTTGGGATCTCGGAATCATTTTATTCTCTCCAAAAGGGACAAATTATTAATGCGTGGATAAAATGCTCAATAAGATTGAAAATTTGCATGAACGCTTTAAAAATTTCAAACTTATTGGTTTATGAATGGTTTTTCATTTCAAATTCTTTCAATTGTAGAACCATGTCTGCAAGTAACTCAAACAACAATTCTATGTGCCCGGAACTCCCCGATAAGTTGGCTTTTTGCCTTAACTTGGTCAACTTCAAGGAGTGGGAGGAGGAACTCAGGAAAACTCTTCGGAATTGTTCCTTGGAGTACACTCTTGACACTCCCAATCCAAGCTTCTTCTTTAAGGGGATCATGACCGATGAGGCTCATGAAGAATGATCTTCCAATTGCAAGAAAGTCTCATGACTTATGGCTAATTCCATCCCGGAAGATTGGAAGGAAAGCCTTTCCTCCTACCTTCCGGACATGTTCCTCAAAGCCTTGAGGACGTTGTCAATGTGAAAGTCACCAAGAGTGACAATGGCAATTATGATGGACTCGTGTTTGATTTGACTAGGTCACTCTAAAAAATGAAGATAAAGCCACCGAATGTGGGTTGTCTTGCTAAGGAAAGGCGCCGGCTTTGGACAATGGTCTACAATGCCAAATTAAGACGCGGTAGCCCCTCCGACCTCATGTGCTTGGAATGACTAGGCTCTTCAAACACATGTAGCTTCTCGGAATCTCATTGGAGGATGAGATGGCGGGGCATATCTTGCTTGCTTCGCTCCACTCGGGCTATGATGCACTTAGAGTGCATATAGCTGCGGGAAAGGAGACGCGCTCTTTAATGGAGGTGGTGCAACTACTTAGCCGAGTCATCGCCTATGGAGTGACCAAGAGGCCCTTAAGAGCAAGGAGAAGGGAGTTCAAGAAGGTCAAGGCAAAGATGCGATGCTTCTATTGTGGTGGGCAAGGCCACTACAAGAGGGAATGCAAGCTCTTCCAAGAGGAGGAAGAGAGGAATGTGGCATCTGCCTCAAGTATCTTCCTTAGCACTTGTGTTTAAAGCTATTCTTAGGTATTGGATGCAGAATATGACTCACTTTACGTTGCCTTTTTCAGGAAACAAGTGAGAGGGCTTCACAAGTGGATGTGCAACTACGAGCGGACGACGAAGATGGTCTTTTGGTTGTGCTTGTAGGCACATTTATTTTGTCTATGACATCTAATTAAACTAATCTTAGTTTCATCATGATTTTGAAAATACTATGATCAATGGTGTTGGACACCAAGTATTTCGATCGTAAGACTTTGACAATAGCTGTTTCGAAGTGTCTTGTTTATATATGTTCAATGGAAATTGCATGTTTTTACATATAATTAGACAAATGTTGATACCGCTGACAAAACTAAGACAATTCATAGTAGACATAGTTATGTCTACCTTATGTCGAATAAATCTGAATCCTTTGAGAAATTCAAAGAATTTCAGAGTGAAGTTGAGAATCAGCTTGGCAAGAAGATAAAAGCACTTCGATTGGATCGAGGAGGCGAATATTTGAGCCATGAATTCGACAATCACTTAAAAGAAAATGGTATTCTTTAAGAGTTGACACCTCCTGGAACTCCTCAATGGAACGGAGTATCCGAAAGGAGAAATAGAACCTTGTTAGACATGGTTCGATCAATGATGAGTCTTAGTGAACTTCCTATCTCTTTCTGGGGACACGCACTACTAACTGCGGCACTAACACTGACCCGTGCTCCGTCAAAAGCTGTCGAAAAGACTCCATATGAATTATGGACTAAGAAACCTCCAAGGTTGTCTTTTCTTAAGATTTGGGGTTGCGAAGCATATGTCAAGAGATTAATTTCTGACAAACTTCACCCAAAATCGGACAAGTGTTTCTTTGTGGGCTACCCAAAAGAAACCAAGGGGTATTACTTCTACAATAAATCCGAGAACAAAGTGTTTGTTGCTCGTGATGGTGTCTTTTTGGAGATGGATTACCTTTCCAAAATGACAAGTCGGAGGAAAATCGAACTCGACGAAGTTCGAGAGGACGAGCAACAATGTCAACCTGATAAAACTGACAGTCAAAATGCTTTAGAAGTAGTTGATAAGATTGGTCAGAATCAAACAGACAATGTAAATGCTCAACCTATTACCCTTCGTAGGTCACAACGGCCAAGATCTCAACTAGACAGATACCTTGGTATTGTCTTAACCGAAGATCAGGACATCCTAGTCATGGATGGAGATGAGCCAGCGACATACAAACAAGCTATGACGAGCCCCGAATTTGCTTAATGGAAACACTAGTAGAAAAAATGACAAAGGCACCCCACCTTTGGCACCGGTTTTTGAAAATCGGTGGTTAAAAAAACGGGCGGGATTGGAAAACAAGCTTTTGACACCGGTTCCAGCCAAACCGGTGGCAAATTATCTTTTTGGCACCGGTTCAAATTAGTGCCAAATAAAAAAGATATTTTTTTTTAAAAAAAAGAGGAGAAAGGGATTTGGCACCGGTTCGGTTCAAACTGGTGCCCATTTAATTAAAAAAAGAACCGCTCGTATTTCTTCTTCTTCTTCTTCTTTTCTTTCCCCCTGCTTTTCATTTTCGGTTTTCCCTAACTCTCGTTTTCGCCCTTCTCTTAGCTTCGACCACCTCTGAAGTTCCACCTTTCTCCATATTTCTCCTCCATTACGCGTGCTCGTAGTTCTCCATTGAAGCGCATTATGAGCTTTGTCCATATCACTCCTCCACTACGCGTACTATTAATTCTCCACTGAAGCGTATTCGAGCTTTCTCACCTCCATTGAAGCAGCTTCGAGGTAAAAACTTGTTTTTGTCCTTTTTACGTTATCGATTTTAGTTTTCGCAATCTAGGGTTTGTCGTTGATTTGATTTTCGAATTTAGGGTTAGTTCTTGTAAACTAGGGTTAGTTTACTACCGCAACCCTCTTGCTTTTGCTTTTACTTCCTCATTATTTCTGTATTTTTTGGTTTTACATTTGAATTTTTCCAGCTTAATATGAAATTGAAATACCGTTTGGCCATGGGGACTGGACATAGAGATTTCTCAGGCCCTCTGGATAGCGTTTGTAAAAGCTACTTAAATGCCATAGTTCATTCAGTCCGTGTTGAAAATAATGACACCAGAACTTGGAGTTTTAAGATGACACAATTTAACAATTGATCTTCCATTACAACATGTGTGAGAAACATACCATTAATAGTGTTTCTAAAGAGGAATGGATTCACATGAAGTGAACACATAGTCACTGTTTACAACATTAGTATAACATGATAATAAGCACATGGAAATCTAATTAATATTTCTTTACCAAAAAAAACTACAAGGAAATTCCTATAAATGTTCCATGTGAAAATCAACAACTAAGTAGCTTCTATGGAAACTTAGCACCTAATTTATGGATGTGTAGTCGGTCACATCACATTACAGTTGTGGTTACTAGCTTACTACTTGGAAAAATCAGGAATAGGAAAAGGTATGGAACTTAAGAGAGCCTGACATATATATTTTAGAGATTAGGGGATAAAATTGGTTAGGGAATAAATGAGTCAATTTCAAATTCAAACGAATAAATTAATGTCCAAAAGCTCCTACCATCGCAACTAATGACCAACACTAAAAAATATTGGGGATAAATGGACTTTTTTTAGTAATAGTATTGAACTTTAGAATTAGAGACCAGATAGGGCTCTTCATAGTTTCTCCTCACATGTAATGCTCACAAATGATAAGATGGACAACTACTTATTTGTGCATTGTCAGTTTGGTGATTTTTTTTTAAATGAGCTCTTTGAGGTTATAGAGTGCGTAAACCCAACATTTGTTGATGAAATTTCTATTATTTTAAGTCCTTGTGCGTATATATGATGGTTGACCTGTATCCTTTATGTGCTCTATAGTTGGAAATCTTTTTCTTTGCGTGTGTATCGCTGGGACTGTAAGATTTTACCTCTCCAACCTAGCTGGTTGGTTAATTTGTCTGGTTTAAGTTTCGAGTCTTTTGACTGGAACTCCCATACAATCATTCAAAAAACAATAGTAGTTACAGGCTGAGGCAAGCTTGTTAATCTAGTATATCACTTAAGCTAACTAAACTCTGAAACTTATCCTACTTACGTGTGACTACTCTGAGTTTGTGATTTTACTTGTAACTCAATTATGCTCTATTGCTATATCATTATTAAAAGGAACTAGGATTTTTTGTTAACTTTCACACGGCTGGTAGAGTTTAATCAATTCCAACAGTGTCTGATGTGCTAATTCTGTGTCAAATTGGTTCACTTAATGCCTTAATGTAATTAAGAAATTGCTAATTTATTTGGGTTCTTTTTTTTTAAAAAAATTCTTTTCAGATAATGCATTGACATTAAAAAGTACCGCAAATGAAGGTTGAACTAGATATTGGATAGGGGCCGCGCAAACGCATGCCCTCTCTATCACAAATTATGATGTACACTCTTCCTCTTGGGAAGATGTTATGCAGGCACCCCTTCCTAATGTGCAATGGAGACCACCCGCCTAGGCCATGAGTCTTCTAGGTCACCCATTGAACCCGTCCAGGTAAGTAATTTGTATGTTCACTATCAGTTTTATTATATAGTCATCTTTCTCGTACGCTCCTTGTTAATTAATTGATGTGGCCGGGACAGTATGACCTTACAAAACTGACTTTCATAAATATACTGGTGTTTTCTGGTTGTTATCTAGATTTTCCCTGGTTTCCCTTTCATTCACTAGTGTATTCCTCGTGTTGAAATTGTGTCCAAATCACTGCAACCTTTTGACGTTTTTCCACTTTTTCGGAATTTTAAGTCCTCTATTGCAAGCTTCACTGAATGACTTTGCCTGGTAAATGGCTTCTGGAATGCTAAATAACCAGCACCACACTCATGTAACCATTTGCCTTCACAACACTGCTCGTTATTGTTGACGGTTACTGTGTACAATTTCTGCTTTGGCTGCTTACTGAATTTGATACTGCTCCACTACTCCTTCCCTTAACGGTTCCTCCTGCTCTGTCCTGCTCCTTCTTGTGTATATGATCGAGTCCTTCTGTTTGCTCAAGGCATTCGTTACATAAAATACCAATCAATATGTATTGCAAATCTATCAGAATGTATGCTATGCATTTTCGTTAGCCTCTCTGCTCTTTGTATTTAAGTTCATGTCTCTTGACAAATGTAGCTCTCAAACACACAAGATTTCACTTAAATACCAAACAGCCTGTGTTATTGATCTCTTAGAATGTATGCCTTTTGTGACCTTTGTGTTTTCTTTCTCTCTTCTTTTTAGAAAATGAAGCCTACTCAACATAGTGTGAGAGAACTGAGGGCATTAGGCTTGACTCCTCATTTACTTGCATGCCGATCTGCATAAGTTGATATTTTTCTTAATTTAGCAGCCATTACGTGTGAGACTAACTTATCAAACTTTGCAGATTTTGATTTTTTATTTCCTAACGACGTTTTGGTTCCTGGCAGTCTGAATGTAGCCTTTTCTCATTAGATTTTGAAGAGTTTTAGCCTTTTAGATGCTTAATTGGCTACTCTGTAATTGTTTTTTATTTTTTGAGCAGCCTGTGAACTTCTAAATTTCACATGCTCCATTACAACTACACCTCTTCATGACAGGGTCTTATTGAATTTTTTATTTTCTATTTTTCAGAATCAAAATGCTCACTCTGCTATATTGAGACAGCTGAATTTACTCGAGTAAGATATTCTTTCTCATACCCCTGCTTTGTATGTATTGGCTCAACTACAAGATATATTTCATGTTAACTTTGGTCTTGAGGTTTCGCTTGTTTCTTAATCAGACCTTTAGCAAGTATAAAGGCACCTTACTTCTAGGAAGGGTACTTTAAACAAGGACCGGGACAAAAGATTCTCCATAAAACCCGGAAACACAAAACACAAAACAAGGAACACAAAACAAAAAACACAGCAAGCCCATATACACAGGAGGCCAAAACAACACCTACACACATCTAGCAAACACACCATAAACAACAACACCCAATCAAAAACAGACCAGCAGGCCACCAAAACAGCAGCACCATCCCACACAACTACTGCTCAGAACCCAAACAGCAGCCCAACCAGTACAGAGCAGACATCAACAAGCCCTGTAGGAAAACAGGCAGACAGACAGCACCAGCTGAGCATAAAGTCAAAGGAGACAGACTCTAAATCCATGAGCAGCAGCTCCCAGCAAGTCCTGACAGAGACAGCAGCCTGCACAGAAAACAGACACATCTGCATCACCACCAAGAACCAGCCTAGCAACACAGCATCTCAGCATCACAACTCCCTAGAAAACCAGCAACATGGCTGCAAAAGGAAAACAGACAGCAGCACAGTAGTATCAACACTGTAATCTCAAGTGTGTTTTTTTTTTTAGTTTTTTAAAGTGTAATATTACAAGTTATTGAATAAAATATATGTGTTTTATGTATATTATGATTATATATAAGTATTTGGTACAATTTAAGTGAAAAAAATGCAAATTTTATTTTTATTTTTTTGGGCATTTTTGGCACCGGTTTTGGAAAAGAACCGGTGCCAAAAGTTTTTTTTTAAATTTTTTTTGGGGTTTTTTGGCACCGGTTCTAAGTCAAAACCGGTGCCTATTGTATTTAAATAAAAAAAAGGCGCGCCATGGGTAATTGGCACCGGTTAACCGGTGCCAAATCTTTAAATAGCCACCGGTTTTGAACCGGTGCCAAATCTTCAGAGATTTGGCATCCCACAAATACCCAACGGTTCAAAACCGGTGCCCATAGGGTGGTTTGAACCGGTGCCTATTTATGTTTTTCTCCTAGTGTAAGAGGCCATGAAATCTGAGATGGACTCCACGTCTGAAAATCAGGGACTTGGTAAATTTGCCCGAAGGTTACACACCCATCGGTTGCAAATGGATTTTCAAATTGAAAACAGAGAAAGATGGAAATGTATCAGTATACAAAGCTAGACTGGTGGCAAAAGGTATGCAAGTTAAAGAAGTCCATTTATGGACTGAAACAGGCAAGCAGAAGTAGGAATCTGCGATTTGATGAAGCCATTAGTAAGTTTGGTTTTATCAAGAATCCATATGAGTCTTGTGTTTACAAGAAGGTCAGTGGGAGTGACATCGCATTCCTAGTCCTATATGTCGATGACATATTGCTCATTGGAAACAACACAAAATTATTAGAGTCCGTAAAGGGTAGATGGGAAAGTGCTTTTCAATGAAAGGACTTAGGAGAGGCACAGAACATATTGGGAATCAAGATCTATAGGGATAGATCTAAGAGGATGATTGGATTGAGCCAAAGTACTTACATTGATAAAGTACTGGCACGATTCAGCATGGAGAATGCCAAGAGAGGGCACCTACCCATGTCCCACGGTGTAACTCTTGGCAAGAAACAGTGTCCACAGACACCTGTTGAGCGAGAGAGAATGAATCAGATTCCATATGCTTCGCTTATTAGATCGATCATGTATGTCATGATATGTACTAGGCCTGATGTATCGTACGCCTTAAGTGCTACGAGCCGATACCAATCAGTCCCAGGTGAGGCGCATTGGACTGCAGCCAAGAATATCCTAAAGTACCTGAAAAGGAACAAAGATAAATTCATGGTCTATGGTGGCCATAAAGATTTGGTTGTTGAAGGTTAAACCGACGCTAGCTTCCAGACTGACAGAGACGACTTCAATTCACAGTCAGGGTATATATTTTGCCTAAATGGAGGAGTGTTTAGTTGGAAGAGTGCCAAGCAAAGCACCACTGCAGATTCTACAACTGAAGCCGAATACTTGGCAGCTTCGGAAGCAGCTAAGGAGGCAGTTTGGATTTGTAAGTTTGTTGGTGAACTTGGTGTTGTACCCTCCATCAAGGGTCCAATAGATCTCTATTGTGACAACAATGGAGCTATTGCTCAGGCCAGAGAGTCAAGAGAGCACCAGAAGGTCAAACATGTCCAAAGGCAATTTCACATGATAAGGGAATGGAAATAGGATGGTGAAATCAGAATTTGTAAGATCGGTACGGATGACAATGTGGCCGATCCTTTAACTAAACCTCTGCCTGAAGTGAAGCACAACAAGCATGTCGAGGCAATGGGAATAAAGAACGTTGGAGATTGGCTTTAAATTCCCTGCACATGTGTTTTAATTAAACTAGATGTCTTAATGTAAAACACTATGTAGAAACCATTAATTTATGGAGTAATTAATTTTTCATGCAAAATTACTATTCACTCCATTGCTATTTAATTGTGGTTTAGAATTAAATAATGAGTTCATTCGATTTTTGAGAATATTCAAAACAGGGTATCAAGACCATGTCTTGGATAAAGAAACACCTGTTAAGTGAACATTGAATATTTAAATCGAAAATTATCACTAATCGAGGTCATTTAACTAATGGACGATTTCCAGTACCGTTTCTTGTGCTGCAAGGACATAGTAGTCATAAATAATTTGCACAGGTGCTAGTTTGGAACTGCACCAGATAGACCTATGAGAGTACTTTAAGAGATTTAAAAACGTCATAAGTACATTTCTCATTATAGCTATCGGAACTTGTTTCCTCAACCATGAGTATTGGGAAGCTCTCTTGTTTGAGTACTAGTCTCTTTGATGTTGTCAAACGTCCGCCGTAACTCGGGATTATAACGGGAACACTCGGGAGATTAGGTCCTCTTAGTAAGAGAAGCTTGCAGTACAAGACTGGGAATGTCCCCCTATTAACAATAGGGAATATATCTTTGTTATTTACAAGGCCGCTCGATGAGTGAGACTGTGAAAATGCATGGCCGTGCTCAGATGGATTTAAGAAATCATCTGCTTATTGACAGTCGAACTCGAAGATCGAGAAACACTTCTGGACGTAATAAGGATGACGGAGATTCTTACCTTATAGTTCATGAAGAGACATTAAGCGACACAGGAAATGGGCTATACAGTGTATGCACACTTGTCCGGAAGGACAAGTGGGAGATTGAAAGGAATGGTGTCCTTCCAACAAGTGTATTATTCTGATAGAGGGTTCTGAATTATCAGGAAGCTAATTCTTCAGTGAGATCAAGTGATCAGAATGCCTGGGTGGAGGCCGCTTCCGATCTGTAATATTAATGAACAATTAGTATTACAGCTTTGTCTTGACTGAACCCTTCGGGTCGAACCCAAACGAACTACCGATCCGAATAGACGAATCAATCCGAAGGATTTGATGAGTCACTAGAGTTTTACGAACACAGACGTCGGATATCGAGCCTAAGGCGTCGAGACCGAGCGTCGCAAAATCAACAAGCAACAAGTTCGAGCGTAGCCGTAGCATCACAATGGCCTAGCCATGTGGACGCTAGGCTAGCTCGAGCTAGCATGCACCTTTCATAGCGAGGCGCAAGCCTAGGCGCACCATGTGTGCTAGGCGCACCATCGTTAGCACTAGGTGCTAGCATGTGTGCATGCCTCGCATGGCAGCACCAACTAGCAGCAGCGTGCTTGCGTGTGTGCGTGCCTTCGCATGGAACAACACCACCGCAGCATGTGTGCCTAGGTGCTATCGCAAGGCCTCGCACAGCTAGGCGCACAACACAACATCGCTAGCACTAGGCGTTGTGCGTGTGAGTGCATGCCTTCGCATAGCTGCGTGCTTGCGTGCGTGCCTTCGCATGGCAGCACCAAACACTGCGAGCTAGGAGCCTCGCCCAGAAGCAGCAGCAAGGGGCCTCGCCTAGCATAGCAGCATGCGTGGCTCGTTAGCAGCACGCATGCTCTGGCTGGGGGCTGATGCGTGCTAGTTGTGCGTGCTGGCAGTACATGCTGGCCAGCAAGGCTTGCAGCCAACTCACTCCCTTTGCTTGGTGCTGGTTTGTGAGAGGTGGGGACCAATTCTTGGAGCAAAGCCTTGGGGAGCAAGGCAATGGTCCCCCAATGGTCATGGTCCTCACGTAACCTCTCCTCTCCTCATGCCACTTGTTGATTTGCAATGGAATTGTTTTATAATTTATTTTGGAATTAAATAAATTAGTGAAAAATGCAACTATCCCACATTGATCATGAAATGGGGATGCAAGTTGCCATTCCCTATAAATACCCCAAGATTGGGCATTTGGGAAACAACTTGAGTGGAACTCAAAAAGGCATCTCTATTATTGAGAAAACCTTTAAGTTCGTAAAACTCTAGTTTTATACGTGGTCAAGTCTCGACTAACCCTCGAGGCGAAGTTCGTTCGAGTCGGGTCGTGGGTACAAGCCGTTGGAGGCCGTCACGCTTGTGAGGCTTAATAGCTTCGAAGTAAGAGCTTGGTTTGCGAACGAAGCACGCTTCAAGGGTATTACTTCTTTATCCCTTTTCTTAATTATTGTTTAATTATGTTTATGCATGCTTTATTGCTTTGATTATTGGGGCGGGTCTTGGGCGGGTTTCTCTTCCGCATAGCGTTGGACGCTACGAAACCTAACAATTGGGTTTTATTTTCGGGCGGTGTCGAACACCGCAAAACCCAACAACGGTATAAGAACCTCTTGCATTTAATTTTTACAACTAAAAATTAATTAAAGTGGTTTAAAATGGATTTAAATTTCTGGTTTAGCATCCTAATTAGATTAGGAGCTCGTTTTTAATTGGATTAGAATCGTATTTATGCTAATTTTGGATTACGAACTCCGATTTTGACTCAAAAATAGTGAATTTTAGGTGAAATCGACGTTCTAAATCAGACTTTGCCTATCTTGTGGTTAAAAATGGCCTTCCAAAAGCAAAAAGCTAAAATCCACCCAGAAAGTGGTTTTTCGAGGGGTTTTTCGTTTTTGACGAATTTTTTTAAATCTTTAAACCTTGATTAATTATGGCATGCAATTGTTGGATTATGTGTTTGATTATACCATTAATCTTCTGAAATTTTAACCCTCATTAAGCATGTTTATGAAGTCATAATTGGTGCTTAACTTGGTTAGCTCTTATTTTCACATAAACTTGCAATTTCACATTTTTGCAAATTAATTGCTTTAAGTGTGAATGTTTATGGTGAAAATGTATTTAAAATGTTAAAGATTCAATCTTTAATTGTTTATTTGGTTGGATCTTAACTTTCTAAAATCCATAATGAACAAATTTTTGGTTTTAATCATTTTTGAGTTGATTAAAATCTTAAAATGTTCATACTTGTGCTTAAAACTTATTGTTCTTCATATTGGAAGATTACAATATTCAAATGTGCACAAGTGAGTGTTAGATAATATTTTTCATTAGATGAATGATTATTTATTCAACCATTTTTGTCAAATCTCTTTATTAATTTATGTTGGTTAAATTAATTGTGAGAATAACCTTCAATTTTTGTAGCATCAAGTTGAGCAAAAAACAATTTAAAGAATGGTTCTTGAATTAATTTTGGTTAGTGCACTAAAAATTGAATTTGTTTAAGTTGGACTTATTTTATTTTC